GTTGCGCTGCCCGGCTGCTCCCTTGCTCCCCAGCCAGTCTGCTTCTCTCCCGCTCTGGGAGACACTACCCCAGGCGGATGCGGAAAGTGGCAATTTCCATGGGGTCCAGGTGGATATTGGTGCTGTTGGAGACCGTGCCCAGCGGGTACATCAAGGTCAGTGAGGTGCGCTGCAGGGAGCCCAGCTCCAGCCCCTGGAACAGGCTGCCCAGGGCCAGCTAAGGAGAAAGGAGGGAGAAGGGAGGATGGCCCAGATGAGTGGGACGCGGTGCCTGGCAGCGCAGCACCGTGCATGGTGCAGCCCCATACACACTGTGCCAGCAGCCGGTTCGCAGGCCCCCCACGGCACCCAGGGCAGCACGCTGACCCCACCCAGCCCAGGCTCTGCCCTTCCTCGCTGGGGGATGCAGGGCTCATGGAAGGCTCCAGACCCACTTAATGAGAAACCAACATCTCCAGCTTTGCCTGGGCAAGGGGCAGAGTGGGGTTGCATGCTGCACTGTGGGACTCTTGACCAGCCACCAGTTCTGGGACGCTGGTGCTGGGGGTCCTGGGAGCCCCTTCCAGCCTCCATCCTGGCTTGGCACAGGAGTCAGGCGTAACGCCAGATGTGCCAGGGGCCCAGCCTGGCTCTGACCCAGTGGTGGGTGGAGGCGACAGCCCGGTCTTACCTTGCCCTGGCTGGTGGTGCAGTTAAACCCCAGGTTCTTGGCTTCCAGGCTGCAGTCAAAGCCTTTGCGGTGCAGGATCAGGGCTGCCTCGGCCGAGGGTAGCAAGTCATCCTGCCAGGGAGCCAGGGTGTGAGATGCAATGCTGGGGACAGCGGACGTGAGACCCCCCACGGGTCCTGCTGTCCCCGGGGCTGTGCCTGTCCCACTCACGGGGCGCAGCTCACCTCTGCCTGCAGCATCCGCAGGTTAAGGATGTGAAAGTCGCAGGGGAGGGTGGTAGAAAGGGGCATGAATGAGCGCAGGGCTGGTGGGGCCAGCTTCTCCTGGGCCACGGGCATGACCAGGGCCTCAGCATTCAGGTGCATGGAGGTGATGTGGCTCAGCAGGGAGGGGAAGCTGATCGGGCGGCCATCCTGCACGGGCCAAAGAGCACACAGGTCAGTGCAGGCCAGGGGAGCGGCTGGGCCAGGCAGAACCTGGACAGGGCCCATGGGGCCTCCCGCTCCTTGCAGCCTCTCCAGCAGCGCTAGAACAGGTACCTGCCAGCACAGGGCACCCAGAGCTGCGCCCACCCAGGCAGGACACCCTCCCCAGCGCCCAAACAGGGAGGACAGCTGCCGGCTGGGCCGGCTGGACGGGCG